AGCCAGGTGAGCGCTTTCACGTCGTCCAATCCTGACATCGAGCTCTGGCTTTTTGTTCTTCGAAACTGTCCTCGACTGGTGGGCTAAACCAAATGAGGGTAATCGATGCGATTGCCTCGGAACCAGACGGTCCTTGAACTAAGTCCAGTCCTCACCCCCCTATTCTAAAACTAAAGGCCCTGCCGAACAGGTGGCTTGCGATTCCATTGGTGGTCAAAACAATTCATGGTGCACAACGAAGTTCGGCAGCCGCCTGGAATGACTAGGTAACCCTATTTAAGGAAGCAGTCTACTTTTCATGAGGAAGGATTTGGAAATTTTACCCTAGAAACGTCAAAAAACCGTCATTGGTAAACTGGTCATTGCTCGCTGGGGCAAAAACTTTCGGTCGAAACAACAAACACCTCCGGCCCCAATCTCCTGTCTTTTCGCAGATTGCTAAAGTCGGCATACTCGCTCTGGCAGACCGCAGCGTTCGTTTCCCAGGCAATCCAATGGCAAACCGCCCGAAAAGGAGGACAATTCTGCCCGCATGCGAACGGATACTTTACAAAGTGGACGATGCTGCTCTGAGTAAGACCCACCCCTCTGAGCAGGAACAACTGGAAGTTGTAGGTGCCAGATACTTTTTTTTCTGGAATGGGCGTCCAAGAAGTCGTAGTCGCCTTCGTAACCAAAAGAGGCGTCATGAGACGGCTCTCCAGTCCACCACAGGATATCAGCAGCCATTTCATGACTCTGTGTCTGCCTCTTCGTGTCAACTTCCTATAATGACAAGCTCGAATGACGTGAAAAAAAGTTATAGCAAAACCGTCCTGGAGAGTGGACCGAAGACGGACATACTGGTTGTCTGTGTTAACTTCAATATCGGCGTCGGCACATATCACGCTGCATAGGAGGGAGCGTTGGGCCACAAATGAGTCGGCAGCTGCAACACCAATGGTCTCCTCCTCCTCCTCCTGAAGGCCCACGCGGAACAAATCTCCTGACCAACACCTCCCGTCTTCCAATGCAGGAGAAGACGTGGATGCACCCTCTCCCGACTCACTGGCATCTGCTGGACTACGTCCTAATTCGGAGGCGTACCAACGAGACGCTCGTGTATAAGGCGATATGCGGTGACAACTGCTGAACGGATTATAGCCCTATCATCCCCAAGATGAGGCTACAACTATAACCGCTCGGGTAGGTCTGTTGATGTCAGGTGGTGTACAACTTGAAGGTTCTCAAATTAGAAGGCAATGAAGATAGTTAGATGGACAATCTTTTACTGAAATAAAGAGTGTACGCACAGCCCTGTAAGCAGTTAAGGTTAGCGTTCCCAGCATGCAAGTGTCAGCCGAATTGCATGCACCCAAAACTCGTCCGGCTGCGGCCAGTCGGTGGAGAGATAAATATCGATCGGCGTCACGGCGTCGCAAGCTGGAGGTTGTCAGGCCGGTTAGGCGGGCCAAAGGAGACATGGGTAAGCAATGGCGCTGACGACCTCGAAAACAGTCAACTGCAGTACCCCACGCCGAGACTAAGGACGGCCTGTGGCTACGCCGGAGGAATTGGTCACGCCAAAAAAACACGAGTAACCAATCAATAGCCATATAAATGTACAGGCCTGAAGAGAATTTATCGAAAGCAAACATATGCTCGCCAAATTGCCTTTTGAGTAACCAATCTGTCAGGAAAGAGAGCACGGCGCCGACTGCGT